ATAGACATAGAATTCTATTCAACAAATTGTGATATATATTCTTTTAAAGTACATACCAAATCTTTTCCTAAAATTGCCACATGATAAATCACAAAAGAAATCTTAGAAAATACCAAAGAACTGATGTCATACACTCTATTCTCGATAACAGTATAATAAATATAGAAATCAACAAAAGCATAGTCTGAAAACTCCGTATGTTTGGAAAAAACAAAGAACACTGCTGAATGATTCATTTGGAAGGAAAACACAACAGAGGACTTGTTTCCAGCAGTATGGCAGACTAGACCCTCCTATAAACAACTAAGGAACTTACATAAAATGTTCATTACATGTTTTAGATGCATTAGTGTGCTAGAATGAAAATAAAGAATTAAAAGAATGCCAGAGGCCAACAAACAAAGGAAAGCAGAGACTCTTAAGAGGTAAGTCTTGAGTGTATTTGCTGAACCCCAGGGTTCTCAAACTTAGTTTTCATGATTGGCAGAGTGCAGGGTATAAAATCAAGGCCCAGGACCCTGCCCAAGATGGGGACTCTAATAGAAGATGCTCTTGTATAGATAAATCTAGAACTTTGAGGCCCTCAAAGTAAGAGAGAACTAGAAATAAACCCTGGTCCAGAGATGTAGGTTATGAAATCAGTTATGTGGTCACCATCAGCACTTTTCTTGAATATCAAATGTGGTAATGTTTCATGTAACATTTGTTTAAATTTTTGTGTGTTAGTATATATTTGTATGTGAATGTGTAGATGAGTACACTTGGTTGCACTGTTATTTTTTACCATCAATCATAGTCAAAAAAATTAGAAAGTTGCTGCCCTACAGGAAGCCAGGGCATGTGTGCACAAAGAGACATATACAAGCTATTCATTTCAGGATTATTTATAATAGCAAAATACTGCAAGCAACCTAAGATTCTATCAAAAGTAGAAAGGATAAGTATTATTTTTGTACAATGGAACATTATTCATCAGATAAAATGAGATAATTACATCTATTTATGTCAACATATATATCATAAAACGTCACATTGAGTGGCAGAAACAAGTTGCAGAATAAGTATAATTGAGTTTGTTAAAATAATACAAATGGTGCTGTTTGAAAGGTAGACAACTTTAATATACCAACTTCTGAAGACAAAAAGAATGGAATGGGATTAGGGCAGAGTTCCAAAGGGTGGTGCAAGTGTGCACATGCATGCAAATATTTCCCTTAAAAAATTTGTAAGTGAATATGACAAAATGTTAACATAAGGGTGATAGGCACTTGGGTTGTATTATTTACTATACTTTCCTGGTATTTGTAGTATTTGATTTTTTTAAAAATGTATCAATGCAAGAAGTAGGTAACAGTTATAGCTTTTTTACAGAGAGAATCTTTATGGGATGAATGATGTCAGAATTAAATTTTTAGGTGTTCTTTAAAAGAACATATTCAGTTATATTATGGTACCTTAAATTAGTTGAAAACTACATAATTGCATGAGTATAGTGTCTGAGCAGAGAAGGAAAAGTTATAGGTAAGAAATTACGTGTAAAACCCTACGTATGAGGATATATTCTTCAGTACATAGAAAGGGGAAATACAGAAATTAAAGACCTGAAATCCACAAGAAGTAGCCCCCCAAAATGCTTATTGATTTAGAAGCCTTGGTGAAGAAAGGAAAAAGCTCTGAGTATTGTATTCAGGGAAAGCAAATTACCCTTCATTGGAATAAATGTTAAAACTAAACATTCCATTATCAAAATTGCAACTTGTTACTTACCATGAGGCAACAAAACAAAAAAGATATAATGTATCTATTATTTTTGTCATTCACATTTTTTTGTTTGTTTTACTTAGCTGGTCACCTGACATTTGAATGCCGCAATTTTCTCCGAGTAGACCCCAAAAGGGACATAGTTTTGGATGTCAGCAGCACAAGTAGTGAAGAGAGTGATGAAGAGAATGAAGAACTGAATAAATTGCAGGCCCTACAAGAAAAAAGTAAGCAATAATTTTTTTCCTTCTAACCTTTAAAACTGTTTCTACATGTTCTGCTGTATTATGTCATGTTTATCTGTTGTTTTCTTGTATTTATCATTAAGAACTTCTGTATTTTTTATAAGAAGTACTGCATAGGTAAGTATATTGGGTTTGAATAAGTACTTTGGCCAAAATTAAACAGCTGATCAGTGATAGAAGCAGGAGGCAAGTCTATTTCTGATTCTACAACTCAGATTTTTTTGTTATTGTTCTATCACACAAAGATGTGTTCACATGGTAGAAAAAGTCTGATTTAAGACTTCATTTAAGACCTAGAAGAGAGGTGTGGTAGGAAGGGGGAAGAAGTGGAGGTGGAGAGGTGGGGGGCAAGAGGGAAGGAGGGGGAGAAGGTGACTCGAGCATTTAGACACAAGCGAGAGGATCATGGCGGATGGTCCCTGGTGTAAGTGCAGAACGCAGGCGAACCCACAGCGCAATAACATTTCAGTTTAAATTCTCAACTGGCAATTGGCCGAAAACTCCCATCTGAAGACATGAGCATCCAAATGCCATTTTGTGATTTGGCTACTGTCTGCTTGACATAGGAAGGCCCTATCAAGGAGAGCTAAAGGAGTGACTAGCAAAAGAAAATCAATGGAAAATCTTTTAACTTCCACCACAAGAAGATAAGAGGTCCCTCCTGCACCAAGAAAGATCTGAAGATCTTTTTCAGTGTTGTTGGAAGTGTGGGGTGTGAGAAGTCAATCAGTGTGTGTCAAGCACCTTGTTCTGTGAAGGGACACTCAGGTGAAACTGGCATTTCTTCAACTGGAAGTGCGAGGAAGTACAGGAGGCGCAAGGGCAGTTGGCTCTGCCACCGCCTTGGATCACACTAAGGCACCAGCAGTCCGACCCACCATGGCCGCTGCATCAGAGCAACTGTCAAGAGAATGAAAAAGGCAAATAGTCTAACACCTTAGTGTTATTTAAAAATGGTTTGACCTTGCTGATATAGATGGTAAGGGAGGAGAGAAATTGCTGTGAGTGTCATGATAGAGATCAATGTGATATGCATGTTCTGCTTTGTTTCTTCTCTTTTACATGCTTTTTCCTATAAAAATAAAGTGGGAAATCATTTAGCTTGTAAAACACTGTTTAATCATGTATGTTTGTATTTTTACATTTTAATCATTCATTGATTCAAAAAGTATTTTATTGGGTATCTAAATACCTAAGTTATTTTTATTGTTAAGAAATAAGAAATATGTTGTGTTTTTGATAATGATCATGCCAATAAAGCACTCAGTGACCCCGCTGTGGAGAGAGCACTTGCTCTGTGCTAGACACTATATTTGTGCTTTTTAATGTGTTGATTTAATCTTCATGGCAACCTCAGGAAGTAGAAAGTCCACTGGATTTTGTGTGAGGTTTACAATATTTTGTGTAACTAGATGAATTACTTAGCTTTTTTGGGGTTTCACTCTCCTCACATGTAAAATATGGGACTGAGATTTATCTTCAGATCCTTTCCAGGTTTATAATTCATTAAATTAATATACATTTCAGAGCACGGGAATCCTTTGTTGACACATTATCAGAATACCCATACTTTATTAGGAAGCCATTAAAAAAGTACAAAATCATTAACACAAACTTTTTGAAACCTAAAGTTCTTTTCACTTTAAAAGATGATTCAATACATCCTTCATAGCACTCAATCTTTTATTGACATATTATCAGAACACTTCACACTTGACTAAAGATATAAGTGCATGAAAATAGTAAAAACATAGTGGTATATAGGCAATATTGCAGAGAGATGTGAAAATGATACAGGAGCACAGAGGTTAGAGCAAGAATCAGAAGTCAAGAAGAACATCACCAAAGCAGTAAGTAGTTCAGGGCTTGGAACTTCGACAGCTAGAGTGAACATGATGGTGATGTTGCCTTCATGTAGCTCAAATTTTAGTGGGGAAGGATGGCAGGTAGATTTAGCAGCCTCCCAAAGCATGTCTTCCTCCTGATCCCCAGAACCTGTGAAAATGTTACATTACATGACAACGAGAAGTAAAGCAGCAGAAGTAGTTAAGGTTGCTAATCAGCTGAGTTCAAAATAGGGAGATTGTTTTGTGTTATCTGGTTAGACCAGATATAAGGGTCCTTAAAATTGGGAACATGTGGCAAGAGAAGGGTCAAGGTCAGAGTAACGTGATGTGAGAAAATCTCAGCTGGCCATTGCTGGCTTTGTAGATGGAGGCGGGAGGTGGGGACACATGCCAAGGAATAGGCTCAGCCTCTAGATGCTGGAAAAGGCAAGAAAATAGGCTCCGATAGAACCTTCAGAAAAGCACAGCTCTGCCAACATCTGATTTTAGCCCAGTCTTGGACTTCAAGAACTGTTATATAACAACCAAGAGGCTGTTACTGTAAGCCTCTTTAGTTTGTGGTGATTTGTTACAGCAGCAATAGAGAACTAATAGAGTAAGAAAATAAACAAGATTGGATGATTTGACAGAAATAACAGGAGGATGTGAGTAAAGGATGAGATGTGTTAGGTTAGGTGGCCATGGAAGGTCTTTGAAGCTCTGACATTGCAGACATGAAGAAAAGAGCAATCCAGCCATACAGAGAAAGAAAGGCAAGTACAAGAGTGCTGAGAGGCTTGTCACATGCAAAGAACAAAAAGGTTATTTAGGGGGAATGTGTAAGAATCGTGGAGAAAGTGTCGAGAGCCTGCATGTGCAGGTCCCATAAGCCATGATAGGACACTGAAGAGCCATTGGAAGACCTCAGGAAGAACAGTGACATATTCTGCTCTATGTTTTGAAAAGAGATCCGTCTGACTACTATGTGGTACATGGAGACAAGGGAACAAATGAGGTGGGTACTGTAGCAGTCCAGGGGAGGGGAGTTGACAGTTTGAAGTGAAGTAGCAGCATTAGAGATGGCGAGGTATAACCAGCAGTTTTTGTTAAGTTGGATGTTAGTTCTGCAAGATGAGTAGGAATTTGTTAGTAGAGGAAAAAGTACACAGGGAAGCAGGAAAGCACAGTGATATCTAGGGAGTAGGATAAATTGGGCATCATGGTAGCAGGTTTAGAGAGATAACTGGCTATCATGTTCAGTCTAGAGACCCTTATTTGCCATGCATAGGAGTTTGGAATTCATGTATATGCAATGGAGAGCAATCAAAATTTTAAGTTAAGGGAATAAATCAGTCTTTGAACTAAGGTTTTGTGGTTATATATGTCCTCCATTGTCATTTTGTTGTAAAAGTGAATAATAACGATAGTTTAAGTTGTATTTTCTTAGATTCAGAATGGTTCAGTAAGATTTCATTAAGTACTTGTCAGTAAAGTGTTTAATAATTCATTACAAAAAAAAAAA